ACCAATTTACATTCCCACCAACGGTGGAGGAGGGTTTCCTTTTCTCCACACCCTGTGCAGCATTTATTGTTTGTAGACTTTTTGATGATGGCCATTCTGACCAGTGTGAGGTGATACCTGACTGTAGTTTTGATTTGCATTTCTCTAATAATTAATGATGCTGAGCATGTTTTCATGTGCTTTTTCAAGACATCAGAGTTATACTCTGAAGAGAACTCGTATTTCAGATGTGCTTAGGACATGGCCAGACCCCATTTTATAACCCATATTCTCTGCCTGCTCTAGGAGCTGGGTGCACGCCAGTGACTGACCACCACTAACTGAGCCCTGATTGTCAGCTTCTCATTCACAGACCAAACATTAGTCCTTATTTGGCTTGTGCAGAGTCCTCTGGGCAAGGAGCTCCCTTAAACGAAGGCCTGGGCTCTGCCCTGAGGGAGCATGTGTTCCTGGCACACACATTTCCAAGCCAATAGAGATGCTCCATTTTAGATCTGATTCCCCTGTGATTTTACAGCTTCCCACTTTCCCCAAAGAAAAGGTAGCATTCCTCTAAAATTCTTACCCAGACTGCATTTCTTCCATTTACTGGTAGAAACATATCTGCATAAAAATCAATATTCTCTGATATTCTCTGATCATCCTTTAAAATGCATGTTTGACTTTTCAATCAACTTTATTTTCATTTAAGCTGTTGAATATTTATTGCAATTAAGAAAATCCTCATTAAACATACCTTCAGTGTTTTGATGATATTCTTATGAAAACTTTTTGTGAGGGAAACAATTTTCCAAATCCGCACTAAAATCTTTGTATTATTTTTAAAAAATATCTCTTGCTTTGATTTTATTAGTTCACAGTCAAAATTGCTTAAGGCCATTCTCTGAAGACACTCTCTCCTAAAGCCAGACTTGCATCTCCAGGTTACACCAGCTCGCTTTCTACAAACGATAACCGTTTGTGGCTCAAAGAATCGCACTTGCTGAATTTTGCTTTCTTGTGTTTGGCTTTGCTCATCACCACATCCCTAAAGCCAGCAGGGCTTATCAGTCTTATCAGTCTTCTTTCACAAACACAGACCCACCAGCTAATGAGAGTTAGGCCTCCCTTTTATGTCTGCCAAAGCACGCCAGGTGTCCTCTTTCACAGCACTTGGCACACTTGTGATTGTATAGTTACTGCTTGAAGATGGAAAATTCCCTGAAGACAAGCGCTGGGTCTGCCATATTCACCACTCTAGTGTCAGCAGTGCAGTGAGGAGGGTTCTGGAGTCTGACTTTGTGCATCCAAACCCCAGCTAACTACTTGCAGCCTTGGGCGAGTTATTTAACCTCTCTCTGTGCCTCAGTTTTCCATCTGTGAAATGGTCATAACAGTACTTATTTCATGGGGTTCTTGTGAAGATTTAGTTAGTATGTACAACGCTTAGAATTGTGCCTGGGGAGAGGAATGAACTAGGAGTTTGGGGTTAGTTGATGCAAACTATTACATATAGAATGGATAAACAATAGGTCCTACTGTACAGCACAGGGAGCTATACTCAATCTCCTGGGATAACCATAACGAAAAAGAATATAAAAAAGAATGTAGGGCTTCCCTGGTGGTGCAGTGGTTGAGAGTCCGCCTGCCGATGCAGGGCACACGGGTTCGTGCCCTGTCCAGGAAGATCCCACATGCCGCGGAGCGGCTGGGCCCGTGAGCCATGGCCGCTGAGCCTGCACGTCCGGAGCCTGTGCTCCGCAACGGGAGATGCCACAACAGTGAGAGGCCCACGTACCGCAAAAAAAAAAAAAAAAAAAAAGAGTGTATACATGCGTATAAAGAAGTCACTTTTCTGTACAGCAGCAATTACCACAACATTGTAAATCAACCATACTTCAATTAAAAAAAAATAAGTTTAAAAAATCTAAAAGAAAAAAATGAATTGTGCCTGGTACATACAATGTAACCAAAAAATAACAGCATGCCTGGCACAGCTCAATATGCAATAAATATTCATTAAATGAATGAATGACTGAAGTGAAAGCAGAATTGAATCAAATATTCAAATATTCCAAGTCTAGTGCTTTTTTACTCTTCTTCCATGCTTTCTTGAATATACAGAAAGCTTAATTTTAGGAAAAAAGCAGGATTCCAGCAAACTTTTAAACAATAATTCCATTGGTTCTCCATAAAAATGATCATTGGGTTAACTGAAAAATTACTTTTCTCTGGGTCTGCTGTTCTAGTCCTTGACTTTAAGCCAACATGCTTTACAAATAGCCATAAATTCATCTCTAGCAATTGATTTAAATTACCATTTTATACTGGTACCTAGTATGTGTTCAATAAATGTGAGGGATGATTGTTTTAAGGAATGGATGAAGAATTCATACGTACATATAATTTGGTAAAATTAGAGCTTAAAGCAGTGTGTAATACAAAATATACCAGACAATTAAGGACACACTTCCATTCAGACTATTACAATAGGGGGAACATTCATGAATGAAGAATGTGTCAAACAGAAAAAGTGGGCTGAGGTTTCATAGAGGCTGAGTCTCACGGGACTCAGGAGAAAGTGCACAGTGAGTCTCACCCAAGTCACATGAGGAAGGGGGATTCTTTGCAGTTAACCCTTCCTCAGAACAAAAAAGGGTGGGGAGATTTCAGAAAGCAAAAGGGTTGAGGTGAGTGGGCGTTCTTACCATAACTATTTTTTGGTAAATGTCAAGTCAAGTTCAACATTGTCAAGAGTAATTTTCAATGGGGCAATACTGCCCTGCAGGATATGTCTTGAGAATGTGAGTGACAGAGACACTTCTTAGTTGCCTCAGTAGTGGGAGGGCACTGCTAATACTTCATGGGAAGAGAAATTCTCTAATATGCAGGACAATACTACACAACAAAGAATTTATCTGCTTCCACTAGTACTTTTGTATATCTTGCTAGATATTCACGTATACGGGGGGGCGGAAAACTGTAAATTTCTAAGCCTGGACCTTAACTCCTGTTAAAGTAAAACTTTATTAAAAGGGAAAATCATTACTCTCATACAAATATAAAATGAACATGAATCAAAGATTATATTTAGCAAATTACTAATGAGGAAACAAGTAAGGCGTTATGACCCGTTTGAAGGAGAATTCACACAACACAATCAGCAATTAAAAATGAGGAAATAAATTTACAAGTTTATGCAAAACTGGTCAATAGCCACACGGAAATAGTCAATTATATTCCACCTGATGAAAACCCTTTGTCTTTCATGGACAAGAATAATTTGCATTACTCTAAGTATACTACAACTAAAAGATTGCAAAAACGATAAAAGGCACAGACCCGTATAGATCAGAAAACCCAGAAAGTGCACTAGATAAGACACTTAAGTCCTTTACATTCTTTCCTGATGCTTCTTTTTTTTATATAAGTATAATTTGCAAAATGTATTTTGCAAAATTTAATTTAACCTGAGCTTTCTGCAAATTCAACCAATGTGTATAATGAACTTTACGAAGTGTTAGCCACCAATTCAGGAAATCACTACTTCTCTTATGACAGTGGTGATCATTGTGTTTATGTGGCCAATACAACATCTGAATCTGTCTGCCATTGTAGCTGTGGAATCCACAATGATGTTTATAGATGTTTACATATAAGTACATATAGGAATCTAACTGCTTTATTATGTCTTATGGTGCTATAATGCCTTTTGAATTACATATTGTGCTATTATTTTCCTTTTATTTCTCCTTTATGTTACAGTTTTTTTAACTTTTTATTTTATATTGAAGTATAGTTGATTAACAATGTTGTGTTAGTTTCAGGTGTACAGCAAAGTGATTCAGTTTTACATATACATGTATCTATTCTTTTTCAAATTCTTTTCCCATTTAGGTTGTTACATAATATTCAGCAGAGTTCCCTGTGCTGTACAGAAGGTCCTTGTTGGTTATCCATTTTAAATAGAGCAGTGTGTACATGTCAATCCCAACCTCCCAATCTATCCCTTTCCCCCACCCTTCCCCCCGTTTATGTTACAGTTTGAACAATGCATTGACTTTTTTGAAAGTGTGTATTTGCTTGGTTATATTCTTGATGAAGCTCATTCAGGATCATAAGGGGGCATTACCAAATATTTGTTAGAAAAAGGGGTACTGAATTGGTTGGGTTGGGAACACCTAGCATGGAAGTCGCCTACGGCAACCTAGATTAGGTAAATACAATTCAGAGCGGCAACGCTGAGGATAGAAACCACGTTCCTAAATGCACAAGCTATGTCTGTCTCTCAGTCCTTCCTTCTACTCAATCCTCCCCTTCTTCCCACCATAAACACAAACACACACCCTGTTCTAAAAGCTTCCCTGTAAATAGACTGGCATCTAATGTCCCCATTGCAGATAAGAATACTGATATTATACACACACACACACACACACACACACACACACACACACACACACACACACACAAAGGAATATTACTCAGCCACAAAAAAGAAGGAAATAATGCCATTTGCAGCAACATGAATGGACCTAGAGATTATCATACTAAGTGAAGTAAGTCAGACAAAGACAAATATCATATAATATCGCTTATATGTGGAATCTAAAAAAAAATACAAATGAATGTATTTACAAAATGAAAATAGACCCACAGACATAGAAAACAAACTTATGGTTACCAAAGGGGAAGAGGAAGGAGGGATAAATTAGGAGTTTGGGATTAACATATACAGACTACTATATATAAAATAGATAACCAACAAGGATCTCAATATTTTGTAATAACCTTATTGATAACCTTCATAGGTTATTACACCTGGTTATCACTCAATATTTTGTAATAACCTATGAAGGAAAAGAATCCAAAAAAGAATATATATAAGAATTTATATATTTATACACACACACACACACACACACACACACACACACATATATATATGTATAACTGGTTCACTTTGCTGTACACCTGAAACTAACACAACATTGTAAATCAGCTATACTTCAATAGGGAATTCCCTGGTGGTCCAGTGGTTAGGACTCGGCACTTTCTCTGCCGAGGCTCAAGTTCAATCCCTGGTTAGGGAACTAAGATCCCACAAGCCACACAGCGTGGGCAAAAAAAAAAAGTATACCTCAATTAAAAAAAATTATTTTTAATTTTTAATAAAAAAAAAAGAATATCCTAAACCAAAGCCAGATCCTTTGTGGTATTCTGATAAAAACCAGAGTTAGAGACTGGGAGACTTATATCCTGCGATGCCAGGTCTTTAAGGGGTTCTATGTGGATCGGTTATCTGTCGCTGCATATAAAGTGACTCTACAACTTGGTGGCTGACAGCAACAATAAACATTTATCATCTCTCCCAGTTTCTGCAGGTTGGAAGTCTAGGTAAAAATTTAGCTGGTTGGTTCAGGCTCAGAGTCGCACATGAGGGTGCAGTCAAGATGTCAACTGAGGCTATAATCTTAAGACTTGACAGGGGCTGGTGGATCTTCTTCCAAGATGACTCACACGTCTTGCAAACTGGCCTCAAGAAGGCCTCAGTTCTTCCTCATACAAGCATCTCCACATGGCTGCTTGAGTGTCCTCACAACATGGCAACTGATTCCCTCCAGAGCAATTGATTCAAGGGAACGAGGTGGAAGAATATGTTGTATGACCTAACCTCAGAATCATGCATCATCATTTGTATAGCATGCTATGGAAGTCAGCCTCTACAGTGTGGGAGGGGACACCACAGGGATATTAAAAACAGGAAGTAAGGCTCATCAGTGACCCCATTAGAGGCTACCATACCATGTAATGTGTTGTGGGTCTTCCACAGTCCCAAACGCACACTATATGTAATATTAATCTTTATCATTCTCTCAGGTACATATGAAATTATTAGTAGAGAGAAAAATATATTGATTATTTCACTTTGCAAGTCAAAGCTGGAAAAACACAACCTTTTCCATAATCTTGGAATAAATGATTCAGAAACCATTCAGAACTGAACTATAACCATGCAATTAAAAGCTACAATATCACTGCATGTCAAATCCATGTCACTTTACTTCATGTGTCCCAAAATACTCATTTCTTCAGTGAAGGCAAATTTTATTGTCACCAACAAACCAGGGATAGATGTTCTCTTTTTCCAAGTCCTACAATTTTCTCCTAGAGGGCTGATTCTAAACTGAAAGCTATTAGAAATTATGTTACAATGAAGAGAGGAAGTAATCAGGTGTGACTCAGAGCTCTGTAGTTTTATATTATATGAGGCAGGGTTTAAGTCTAATAAGATATCACAGATTAGGCATTTTTGTTTAATGGGGGAAAAGTATAATAAACTAAACTGGAAAGAAATGTGCCTTGTTTGATGATCTGTTAAAATACACTGACATCCATAGCTCATTCTGATAATGACCTCTGGTCAGAGGACCCTCATCTTTGTAGCCTCTCTTAATTACTCACTTTAATCACTTAAGAAGACAAAATTAGATATTTCAAAGACATCAAGTGCAGAGTGTAAAAATCAGGTGAAAATTCATGGCTTAAAGTAACCGAAGATTTTTTTTAAATATCCCTTTTGTACAGTACCTAGAACATAACAGGTGCCAAATAAATATTAGTTTCCTCCCATCTCATCCTCAATCCTGCCTCTCAAGGTTCTTTGTGTTTTTAATTTATTTGATTGAAGTATTGGTAATTTACAACCTTGTGTTAATTTCTGCTGTACAGCAAAGTGATTCAGTTATATATATCTATATATTGTTTTTCATAGTCTTTTCCATTATGGTTTATAACAGGATATTGAATATAGTTCCCTGTGCTATACACTAGGACCTGTTGTTTATCTGTTCTATATATAATAGTTTGCATCTGCTAGTCCCAAACTCCCAATCCGTTCCTCTCCCTGCCTCTTAAGAGTCTAAGACTAAAAAAAAAAAAAAAAGAGTCTAAGACTAGATTTTGAGGCCATAACCCTATAGAAACATCTAACTAAAATATATTGTAAGAAACTACAGTGAAGTCCTCCACGGTGTAGGAATTAAGTTTCTTAACAATTTCAGTTTTAATCCAAATGTTATTTTAATGTTAACGGTAACAAAGATTTGGAGTAAAATATTTTTACTTCTGTGGTGGCTCTCTGCTTAAGACTTACTTAATAAGTAGATACATGCGAAATTTCGTATTTACCTCAGTTTACCAAGGAGCTATTTTTTTATCTGAAGTTTGCAAAAATCTAAAACAACATCTATAAGAAAAATTTTTAAACTATATATGTCTATAAATGTATTTTATGTAATGTGTATTCCTGTATTCCATGGTGCACAAAGATATAATATTGGAGATTTCCAAAAAATTGTGTATAATTATGTTAAGAGCCTAAACAATAGACTTTTAAAAATAGTAATTACTGTTACTTTTAAATCATACATGCTCATTATTTAAAATGCTAAAGGAGGAAGAAAATTACCAAAAAGGGAAAATAAAATAATATTAAAACTGTGCTACTCAGAAATAACTAAGTATTTAATCTATTTTTCCAGCTATCTCTCAATACATTTTAAAAGACAGGCTACATAGAAAGGCTTTTACAAACAATGGAATATTTTTGGAATGCCACTCAAATAAAATGGACTGCATTTAATATTACTTGACTTCAACATAGGAAAATGAAACAAATAAAACTCAAGAAATTGCTGAATTTCAGATAAATATTTCCTTAATTTATTTTTTTAACATCTTTACTGGAGTATAATTGCTTTACAATGTTGTGTTAATTTCTGTCCTGTAACAGAGTGAATCAGCTATACATATGCATATATCCCCATATCCCCTCCCTCTTGCGCCTCCCTCCCACCCTCCTTATCCCACCCCTCTAGGTGGTCACAAAGCACTGAGCTGATCTCCCTGTGCTATGCAGCTGCTTCCCACTAGCTATCTATTTTACATTTGGTGGTGTATATATGTCCATGCCACTCTGCCACTTTGTCCCAGCTTACCCTTCCCCCTCCCCGTGTCCTCAAGTCTGTTCTCTACATCTGTGTCTTTATTCCTATCCTGCCCCCAGGTTCATCAGAACCATTTTTTTTAGACTCCACATATATGTGTCAGCATGCGGCATTTGTTTTTCTCTTTCTGACTTACTTCACTCTGTGTGACAGGCTTTAGGTCCATCCGCCTCACTACAAATAACTCAATTTCATTTCTTTTTATGGCTGAGTAATATTCCATTGTATATATGTGCCACATCTTCTTTTTCTATTCCTCTGTTGATGGACATTTAGGTTGCTTCCATATCCTGGCTACTGTAAATAGTGTCGAAAGGAATATTGTGGTATATGTTTCTTCTTAATTATGGTTTTCTCAGGGTAAATGCCCAGTTGTGGGATTGCTGGGTCATATGGTTGTTCTATTTTTAGTTTTTTAAGAAATTTCCATACTGTTCTCCATAGTGGCTGTATCAATTTACATTCCCACCAACAGTGCAAGAGGGTTCCCTTTTCTCCACACTCTCTCCAGCATTTATTGTTTGTAGATTTTTTGATGATGGCCATTCTGACTGGTGTGAGGCAATACCTCACTGTAGTTTTGATTTGCATTTCTCTAATGATTAGTGATGTTGAGCATCCTTTCATGTCTTTGTTGGCAATCTGTATATCTTCTTTGGAGAAATATCTATTTAGTTCTTCTGCCCATTTTTGCATTGGCTTGATTTTCTGATATTGAGCTGCTTGTATATTTTGGAGATTAATCCTTTTTCAGTGGCTTCATTTGCAAATATTTTCTCTCATTCTGAAGGTTGTCTTTTCCTCTTGTTTATGGTTTTCTTTGCTGTGCAAAAGCTTTTAAGTTTCATTAGGTCTCATTTGTTTATTTTTATTTTTATTTCCATTCCTCTAGGAGGTGGGTCAAAAAGGATCTTGCTGTGATTTATGTCATGGAGCGTTCTGCCTATGTTTTCCTCTGAGTTTGATAGTTTCTGGGCTTACATTTAGGTCTTTAATCCATTTTGAGTTATTTCTCCTGAGTTGGATTCCCTGATCCCTAGATCTCAGGCCCCTCTGAGTTCACTCTCTTGTTTTATGGAGCACATCCATTAGTAGTTTTCTCAAGTTAAAAAAAAAATTGGTACAATGGCAGAGGGCTTGGTGATACAAGCATCGCGTGTACTTAGTTTCCTTTTACACCTCGAGTACCCATCTCTCTGAGATGGGGATTTCCCTTCACCTTCTCCCTGGAGATTTCCCTAACTTTTCTTCAGTACCCCATGTCTTCCTATTTCTTGGTTTACCCTATCATTTTAGGTAAACACATCCTAAGTAAAGGTGCCCAGGAGGAATTTTTTGAGACTTTATGTGTTTAAAAATATCTTTAGTCACCCTCACTCTCAACTGAGAGTATAGAACTTTATTCTGACCATGCTGCCCTCACAGCTAGCTGTTCCTGGAGCAATACAGACACCTTTCATTCTCTGGCTTTCTCATTTGCATTTGCTGCATGGCTAAACTCTCTCACCTCCTTCAGGTCTTGCTCAAATATTGCATTCTCAATGACCACGGTATAAAATTGCAAACCCAGGGCCTCCCTGGTGGCGCAGTGGTTCAGAGTCCGCCTGCCGATGCAGGGGACACGGGTTTGTGGCCCTGTCCGGGAGGATCCCACATGCCACAGAGCGGCTGGGCCCGTGAGCCATGGCCGCTGAGCCTGCGCGTCCAGAGCCTGTGTTCCGCGACGGGAGAGGCCGCAGCGGTGAGAGGCCCATGTACCAAAAAAAAAAAAAAATTGCAAACCCAGCATTCCCACCTTCTTTCCTGCTTCATGTTACTTCATTAGCTCTTATCACCACCTGGTATAGAATATATTTCCCTTTGCTTATTTTGTTTATTTTCTGTCTTCCTCCACTAGATAGTAACCTTCTTGGGGCCAGAAACTTTTATCTGTTTTGTTCACTGATGTACCCCTGCACCTGGAACAGTGTCTGGCACATAGTAGGCCATCAATATCTATTTGCTGAATGAATGAATAGTAAACACATATGTTCTATCTCTATAATATGCCAAAAAGAAGATGTCTTTTTTGTTGTGATAAATAA